ATGGGATTATGATTATTTTCATTGAATTAATAAATACATATTTCAAGAAAATCTCACTTTTAATTTCTATTATTGTAAATATGAACAGATAGAAATAACATAAGCTCTTTGAGTCTCAATAATATTTGAGAGTTTGAGTTCCAAAAACTGTATAATTGCTTTTCTGGTGTATGGTTCAATTACAATTCTCTTTACTTCTTCCTTGTGTTAAAAATTGAACCAGTTGTTGAATCGGTGCATGCCAGAACAAAAATGTGCTCTGTTTTTGTTTTTTTTTTCCTTCTTTTTTCTGAAGCACTTTGCCAAGCTTCTTTTCTGGAGCACCCCTGGATAGACTCAAATTGCAGAGTACATTGATCATTTGTATAACCGAAGGACAAATTTTCTTGAGTTTCAGTGAAAGCTCTCATTTCTCCAGTCATAACAAAGATTGGGAATGTGTATTTTTGTCTTATATTGAAAACAGACACATGAACTTTCTCTTCCTAGCCCATTGTTATTCTGACAGAGCATAATGGCTCTGGAAAGTGGTCCATAATTTGTTTATTCCATGTGAGCTTTCTCTTTGTTTTTCCTATCTACACAGATAAGAGAGACATAAGCATAAAATGCTTGCAGTTTTGTAAGAGATAAATAATTTCCAGAGGATTTTATAATCAATCCTACACCTTTTAATGCACTTAATGGCCTGAGAAAAATACAAATATAATTTCAGTCTCAAACCTTTGGTGGAAATTGTTCATGCACAATAGGATAGAGTATTAATATAATTAAATTTGATCAATTTTGTATTGACATAAAATTTTGGTTAATTTTTAGTTACTGGTACCTACAGAAGTCAATCATAAAAGGGATTTCACAGGAACAGGATTTTCTTCCTCTGGCTTAAATTGCCATTCAATTTAGCATTTATGTGACAGTCAATGGTAAATTGTAGCTCCAGGATGTAATGATTTGATAAACAATGAAAGGTTATATGATACATTTTGGAGGTTAAACAAACTATCTTATTGGATAATACTGACCTTTTAACTTCAGAGTGGTCCTAATCTTATCTTTTTTTGAAATACAAAAATAATTCTCTCCATTTATTTAACTAAAGGAATTAAAGACAAGAATAGATGGTCTACATTGAATTTCTCACTCTGAATAACTCAAAAGAGATAGATTTTTAGTTCATGAATTTTATCGTTCTTTGTATCTCTGTCTTTGGGGCTTCACTTACAGAGCATAATAAAACCATTGTACCTCATTGAAGTCTTTATATTATGTTCAACTAAAATAAGACATACATATTCTTTCATTCTTAGAAGAAAGTTACAGTAGTGATGTGTCAAATTCTGTATTAGATACTATCAATCCAGGAAGTTTTTAATATCTAACCACTATTTTTTTTCCCAGAATGATATTATATAAATTCAGTTCTTTTGAGTAAGTGTACAATCTCCTGAAATTCAATAGATAAAATGAAAAGACTGAGTGCAAATATACATGATTAATTTCATGCTTAATTATTACAAAATTTTATAATACAATAGAAAAGTTATTTGCTTTATAGTTTATATTGGTTAGAGTTTTATATAAAAAATGTATATTTGCTTTATAGTTTGTATTAGTTTGAATAATATATATAATTATTATATATATGATGTAGATATTATTTTAACCAATATAAAAAATATATTAAATCCACACACACACATACATACACACACATATGTAACATGAATAGTCAACACTCACACTAGCTTACAAAAAGATTAGAGGGTCTAATCTACTCAAAGGCATCTCAGAAGAAAAGACTGGTGATTTACTTCCAGAAAGTGTGTCATTGAGAACCCTATGGTACACAATTCTACTCTGATAGTTTTGGGTTGCCATGAGTGAAAATATAGTGGTTAGATATTACCAACTTCCTGGGTGGATAGTCATTCATTCAGTCATATCATTTCAGTAGTTCTCAAATTATAGTTTATTTGATATTGATCTTACAGGTAGACACCTACATAATTTCATGTTCTAATAAATTTAGGAAATGTCATGTTATATGCTGATGTAGTCCACTGCTCTCCTAGAAAAATAAAATTAATATATTTATAGTTCTGAGCATTTCCACAGTCAATAAAATTGTTTAAACTCATTTTACTTTTAGATGTTTCTGTGATCCCAAGCCATTTTATTAAAATTGAATTCTTCTGAAGTCATTTGCCACTAACCAAATATTAAAAAATTATTTTAGTTTATATTTAGGTACAATATTATAATACTATAGCAGAAAACCAATCATACTAAATATCTTTAAGCATTTTAAATATCCTGTTGTAAAATTAGTCCTTTGTTAGAATTATTTAGCCTTTATCTTACCAGATTGAAAGTTTCTTTTACATAGTAGATCTTATTTATTTTTGTATTTTCAATACTATCAAAATACTTTACTTACAATAGACTCTTCAAAATATTTGTCAACAGTTGATTGGGGCATTTATTCTCAAGATAATTTTCTACACTATTGTAAGCTATAAGGATGAGGAGCAAAGGAAGAAATGAAAGAAAACTAGAAGACCCTCTGTTGCAAATTTAAATGTTCAGGGTTTTGGTAAAACTACTTATGTTAAATTCAGTGAAATTGATATAGATTATAAACTCCTGGCTAAGCTAGACTCTATATTAATGTTTAAAAAATCATTTTCAGTTAAGGTAAATTTTATATTTTACCACCTGCACATAAGTAAAATGATATTACAAGAGGTATTATCATTTTCAGTTATCTTTCTATTATTGAGCATAAAGTGCCTAAATTCTAAAGTCAGTTATATTTCAGATATATTTCCCTTAGCCATGGTAAACAGGCAAGCAAACAGTCAAAACTGACTTGATGACAGTTGATTTTTTTTTGGGGGGGGGATAGTGGGAACAGAAATGGATCTCAGGAATCAGTACTTCATATTTGTTATAAATCTAAGTTTTAGAAATTGAGGTTAAAATTTGATATAGCAAATTTCATTAGCTAATATTTAAGTTGTTTTAATGATGCAGTTGTACAAATACTGAAGTTCAGTGATCCCTATAGCTGTTCATGATCTCTGGTCACCATTATTGCAGTCAATTCTAATTGCAAAGCCTTGTGAATAATTGCAACATTATGAAAATAATTAATAGACCTACAAATCAAAATGAAATATGTCATGCTCTTGAATTTATGACTATATATATATATATATATATATTTTTTTTTTTAATGTATGACATTACAAATAATGATAATAAGCATGCATGATGAAAAAGCTTTGAAATATTTACCCAAAGACATTCCTTGTATCTATCTTGATATTACTGGCAAAATGTTCTAAATAGCTACTATTTTTCAATCATGTATTCTGTGTCAAACAAAACCATAAAGAACATGACCACTAATTGACAAAGAACAATTAATGAGAGTCAGAAATACCCAAAATTAATAGAAGGAAATTTTAAATAGATAAAAGATAGTTTCATATAATGAATCTCAAAGCATGATCTCAATTAATCCCTAAGTTATTACAATTTTGAAAGTGGTCTGACCAATATTATTATATTATCATTAATCTACCCAAACTCACTGCCACTGAATCGACTCCAACTTATAATCACCTAAAGGACAGAATAGCATTGTCCCATAACGTTTCCAAGGCTGTAAATCTTTATGGAAGCAGACTGCCATTTTTTTCTCCCATGGATTAGTTGGTAGTTTGAACTGTCAACTTCTGGTTAGCTGCTAAGGGTTTGAACCACTGCCAAGTGGTTATGTTTATGTTTTAACCACCACCAGATATCTTATGTTATTATTGGACATTAATAATTATTATAAATCAATTATATTTATAGTGGTTATTGATAAATATATATATATATATATATGTGTGTATATATATATATATATATATATATATATATATATATATGGAAGGATCTACATACTATAAGAAGATTTACATATCACAGATTCACAATGAGTGCCAACTGTATTTGAATAATGGAACCGAAGTCCAGTATTCATGACTTGAGATTTAAGTCCCAGTTCATACCGTTTTCAGCATGTCTGGATCATTCAAGTAAAATAATTTAACCGATTTCACAGTTGTTAAGCAACAAAGCCATATCTGTGGTACCTGATATCTGACTACTTAGAGATTACCTTTTTTGTTAAGGGATGCAGTGAACAACCAGGGCTGTGAGATGCAAGTTTGCAGTATCAGGAGGATGGGATGACACCTGGTTCCAGTGAGAGGAAGTGATTGGGCAATCTGCACCTTGTCTCCTGATGAGGAAGGCATTTGGGCTAGATATTTTTATTGGTGGGAGCACAGTAGGAAAGTGAACCCAGAGCCAGACCATTCATGGATCTCCCCAATTTACAATTTGTCAAAGAAGAAAATAATATTGAGCCATAATTTCAGGTAATACATCTCAATGACAGTGGATACCATTTATTGATTGCTGATTCCTTTTAAAGAACCAATAACAACCCTATTGAGCATTAACAATTATCCTTATATTTGAGATAAGAAAATTGTGATAACCAAAGGCTCACTTCTTTGCCTTTGGTTTCATAGTGACAGAGGCTAGATCTGAATTCTGGTCCTTCAAGGTTGTAGCCAATTTTCCTAAATAAGTTATTATATTCATTGATAAGGCAACAGTATGCATATTCTTATTGTGAGCTAAATCAGGTAAATTATGCTTAACCAATATTGTTTTATTTGTTTGACTTAATTTTATACTCTTAAACACATTTTGATATATTATAACATAACAGTGTAACTTCCTGGTTATATATCAATAACAAATCAAGAGTGATAAGTATTTATCATGGTAGCAGATTTAGAGAATATTGAAATATAGTCAAATAAAAATATTGAATCAAAATAAAGAGAAACTGCAATTATTAATACTGTCAACAAATCTATAAAAAATTAAACAAAATGATCACAATAAAATAGAAAAATAAGTGAATTAAATACCTTCTTCTCTCCATAATATGTTAGCTACTGCAGCATGTTCAAAAGAAAAGGAAAAGAAACAAAAGTGAGAAAAAAGTTTCAGTTGCATAGGAATATAAATAAATATTAAAGAGGTCAAAGTCTCTGACCAGGGTAGAACATGAACATAAAAATTGTGAGGCTGAATTCAATAAACTAACAAAAAAGTAAAGTAGTGGGACTAGATAATAATGTTCCTTGAATTTCTTGAAGTAGGCAATACTTCTCTGGAATAAAGGGTTTGTTAACAAGCAAAGAACATTTTATGCATCAATGAAAAGGATAGGGTATTTAAACTAATTTTATTGAAATTGGTAGTTATCTCTAACTACCAATGCTTGTTCCACATTTTTGGAACAAGCATTGGTAGTTAGAGATATTTGGAACAAGCATTGGTAGTTAGAGATATTTATTTAGTTGACAGTATAACAACAACAACATATTTAAACTTACTGATAGGAAAATATTGAGCATTTTTTAATCCTCAATAATCACAGTATTTAATATTCCTGAACAAAAAGAATGAAAAAAAAAAAAAAATGCCACTGCCATATAGTCAATTCTAACTTCTAATGAGCCCTATTGTGTTTCCAAGGCAGTATGCATTAACAGAAGTAGATTGGTGGGTTTGTAATGCTAACCTTGTAGTTAGCAGCCAAATGTCTTACCAACAAAGCTCCTTTGAAAAAGAAGAGTTCTTGTAAACACAGGAATTTGAACACTATTCAGTTTGAGAAGCAAAAATGTTTATTTTCTACAATGTAGTGGTCTATTTTTAAATGGTATATGTTTTCACTGTTTAAAACCTTGAAAGAATGGGAAAAAAAGCTTGTTTATGTCTGTGCTCACTTACTGGTGCATACTTAACAATCTCTGCATAGTGCTGTTGTTGTCAGTAGGTGCCATAGAGTCAGTTCTGACTCTGAGTGACCCTACATACAACAGAACAAAATACTGCTCCTTTCTGTGCCATCCTCAATTGTTGCTATGTTTTAGCCCATTGTTGCAGTCACTGTGTCAATCCACCTCCTTGAGGGCCTCCCTCTATTTTGATGATCCTCTTTTTAGGCCTAGATGTCTATTAAATATTATAAATGGACCAAATCAATAGAGAATAGATATATTAAGGCAGAAAGAAGAACAAATACCAAAGGCAAATATGCCCAAAACAATGCTTGTGTCTAATTATTCACTTAACTAAATTCCATAAAATGTCAAAAGAAGATAAAATAAGTGAAAATAAAGGATAATTAATGAAAAGACTGCACATATTTAATCACTCCTCGAGTAACTCAGTCAAAATAAAGTACATTTCATTTAAAAAACAAAACAAAACAAAATAAAGTAACAAGTAGTATAGCTGAGACTAGAGCCTAGCACTCATGACTTGAGACATAAGGCCCAACTTACACATTTTTTTTTAGCACTGCTACAATTCTTTTAAAAAGAAAATAATGAAGTATAAGCAATTTTAAAAATGTTTTTAAGCACATTTACTTAATCATATCTGTATGATTCAGGCATTTTCTGTTAAGCATATTTTCTGTTGCCTAACAGTGTGTTTGGAATATGAAAAGGGTAGTTTCTATTCTCATGAGGAGACTATAGACCAGGGGAGAAAGAGAGAGAACATATCAACAAATAATGGCAACTGTGTAATAAATTCTTTAAATAAATATTAAGTTCATGGCTATGAATTGGACAGAATGATGATCTCTAAGGAAGAAGACTTATAATTTAGTTAATTATTTTTTATATTGGGGAAGGCTGACTATGGGGGTTATGCTAAAGCTAGGTCACGGTATACCATCATATAAGAGGGCCACAGTGGGGGTAGGGGCACAGTGACTAAAGAGGTTATTCCACACACAGGGCATATAAATGGTACACAAAGAGAAACTGTTATAACATAATCTGAAAATTTCAAACACTCCAATATTGTTGGAGAATACACTGATAGAAGATGGAATTTGTCCATGATAAGATCAAGAAGGTACTCTGAAGAAAATGCAAAGGAAATTGAATTATCTTTTTTATACCCAGGAAAGATTTACCCATGATTAGACTTATAATTGTTTTTCTGGCTTATGGAAAAATGTAACAAGGGGATATTTTCTTATATGCTCAACCATTCACTTAGTAAGTATTAAGTGCCTAGTATGTGCCAGACATTGTACTCTTTGATGCAATGTTGTATTTGTTATTGTTAGGTGCCAATGAGTTTCTTCTAACTCATAGCAACCCTATATAAAACAGACGGGATACTGCCTAGTATCATTTTTGTTAGGTGCCATTTAATCTTCAAATTTTTTAACAAGTACACAATATACTCTGTTGTTGTTGTTAAGTGTCATGGAGTCAGCTCTGATTCACAGTGACCTGGGTACAATAGAACAAAACACTGTCCTGTCCTGCACCATCTTCACAATCTTGCTATTCTTGGGTCAATCCTTGAAGCCAATGTGTCAACCCCTATCACTGAGGGTCCTCCTCTTTTCTGCTGACCCGCTACTTTACCAAGCATGATATCCTTCTCCACAAAACAGTCCCCTCTGACCACATGATCAAAGTAGGTGAGACAAAGTCTGCCCATTCTCACTTCCAAGAATCATTCTGGCTGTACTTCTCCTTCTTCCAGGACAGATTTGTTTGTTCTTCTGGTTGTCTGTTGTATCTACAGTATTTTTTGCCAACACCAAAATTCATATGCATCAATTATTCTTTGATCTTCCTTATTCATTGTCCAGCTTTCACATGAATACTGAAGTGCACCTTGGTCTTCAAAGTGACACCTCTGCTCTGCAACACTGTGACAAAAACTTTTCAGCAAAAGCTGTCTTTTGCACATTTGCCCAGTGCAGCATGACATCTGATTTCTTGACTGCTGCTTTGATGGGTGTTGATTGTATATCGAAATAAAATGAAATCCTTGACTACCTCAATCTTTTCTCCATTTATCGTGATGCTGCTTATTGGTTCAGTTGTGAGGAATTTTGTTTTCTTTATGTTGAGGTGTAATCCATACTGCAGACTGCAGTCTTTAACCTTCATCAGTAAGTGCTTCAAGTCATCTTCACTATCAGTAACCAAGGTTGTGTCATCTGTCTATCACAGGTTGTTAATGAGTCTTCCTCCAATCTTGAAGCCATATTCTTCTTCATATAATCCAGCTTCTTGGATTGTTTGCTCAGCATATAGATTGAGTAAGTATAATGAATGGATGCAGCTCATACACACACCATGCCTGATTTTAAACCATGCAGTAACTCCTTTATATTCAAATAATAGCATCCTGGTCTCTGTACATGTTCCTCATGGGCACAATTAAGTGTTCTGGAATTCCCATTGTTTGCAGTGTTATCTACAATTTGTTATCATGCACACAGTTGAATGCCTTTGTATAGTCAACTGAACACAAGTAAATATATTTCAGGCATTCTTTGCTTTCCACCAGGTCAATCTGACATCAACAGTGATCTCTCTCATTCCATGTCCTCTTCTGAATCCAGCTTGAATACCTGGAAGTGCCCTGTCTAAATATTGCTACAACTTTTTGAATTATCTTCAGTAAAATTTTGTGTGTGATATTAATGATATTATTGGATAATTTCTACTTTCTGTTGGATCACCTTTCTTTAGAAAGGGTACAAATATGGATTTCTTCTAGTTAATTGTCCAGGAAGCTGTCTTCCATATCACTTGCCATAGATGAAAAAGTGCCTCAGCACTGCATCCATTTGTTTAAACATCTCAATGGGTATTCCACCAATTCCTGGAGCCTCATTTTTCACCAGTTCTTTCATTACAGCTTCAACATCTTCCTTTAATACCATTGGTTCTTGATCACATTCCATTTCCTGAAATACATGAACATCAACCAATTCTTTTTGGTACAATGAGTCTTTGTATTCCTTGCATCTTCTTTTGATGCTTGCTGCATCCTTCAATATTTTGTCCATAGAACCCTTCAATATTACAACTCCTAGTTTGACTTTTTTCTTCAGTTCTTTCTGTTTGAGAAATACTGAGCTTGTTCTTCCCTTTTGATTTTCTAACTCCAGGTCTTCGCACATTTCATTATGATAATTTACTTTGTCTTCCTGAGCTGCTCTTTGGAATCTTCTGTTTACGTCTTTTATCTTGTCATTTATTCCATTTGCTGTAGCTACTCTTCATTCAAGAGCAAGTTTCAGAGTCTCTTCTGACATCCATTTTGGTCTTTCCTTCCTTTCCTGTCTTTTTAATGACTTTTTGTTTTCTTCTTGTATAATATTCTTGATGTCATCCCACAATTTGTCTGGTTTGCAATGTTCTTTTTGGTGATTAATGCCACACCATTCTTCTTCATTTTATCATTCCCAGTGTGGTATATCATATGATTGTCTGATTCAAAATGGCCAATACTAATCTATTACAATTCATTAGTGTGTAGGGTATTGATATTTATGTTTTCCAATTCATTTTTGACAACTTCCAATTTTCCTAGATTCATATTTCCTACATTCCATGCTCTAATTATTAATGAATATTTGCAGCTGTTTACTTCCATTTTGAGTCACATCCCACCAGCAAATGGAGTTCCCAAAAGCTTTATTCCAACCATGTCATTAATGTCGACTCTACTTTAGGGAGACAGCTCTTCTCCAATTGTACTTTGATCGCCTTCTGATCTGAGGGGCTCATCTTCTGGCACCATATCAGACAATGTTTCAGAGCTATTCATATTTCACTGCTATTCATAAGGTTTTCACTGGCCAATTTTGCAGAAGTGAATGGCCCCATCCTTCTTCCCAGTCTGCCTTAGTCTGGGAACTCTGCTAAAACCTGTCCACCATGGATGACTCTGCAGTTAATTGAAATAACAGTATAATATTGTCCATCCTCATAGCCAAATACAACCACAACAGTATGATAAAGTGACAGATGAGTGGTAGAGTCCTGTACCATACACTGGGTAAAATAGATACAGTTTCTGTGCCAACAGAGCCCATAGATAAACAGAGCCCAGG